GTGAGGCCTGCTCGACAGCCCACGTGTCGCACTCCGTCCCTGCCGGAGCGCGGCGTGTCCCTGGCGCCGTGCGGAACTGGAGGGGGAAGATTTGCTATCTTGAGGTCCGAGTGGGCCCGGGTCCTCAGCTCCCAGTATCTTGGGAGTACTCGAGAGCGGCCGCCGCGGTCGTCCCCAGGGCATAGGGGCCTCGCTCGTTATTGCCGGTGTCCGAGAGCCATGTTATGAGGTGGTGCTGGGAGGATAAAGTTCCCATAGCTGGGATCCAGTGGTTCGAATAATTCAAGGTAACAGGCTCTTGTGAGGAAATGAGCCACAAAAATACCGGACTGCAGAACACGAGGGTATCTTTGCTCCATTTATAACTAAATCTTATAACTACATAGCGTTTATAATTATAAATTAAAGATAAATTTATTTCATTAGGATCAGTTAGTATCTGGGAATGTAAGGAGTGGTACCATTTTATTGAGTGTGAGATGTTAACCTTGGGCATAAAGCTAAGGGTTTTAGATTGTTAAAATTAAATAGAAATTCATTTCACACTGCTAGTGCAAAAATGAAATGCTATACTAATACACATTTGGATTTTTAGAAAACTGCAACTGCGGTTGCCCACTGCAAGAGAGGAAATGGCCTCATTAAAGTGAATGGAAGACCCCTGGAAATGATTGAGCCCAGAACTCTGCAGTATAAAGTAAGCATCCAGGCAACCTCACCCTATCCTGGATGTTAAAACACCTTTATATGCATAATTGCTTGGGGATGGAGAAGAGTTGCTGGCCTTACTGACAGTACTAAATTTTTGGTTGTGTATTAACGTGATTACCTGAAATGTAGATGCCATTATGAAAATTGAGGAAACTGTCCTCTTATGAATGCCTTGTTGGGAAGGGTGGGCTTTTTGCTTAACTGGGTTCATATATGTTAATGTAATTATGTGAAGTATTTTCAGCACTTCAGACCTGTTTTTTTAAATTGAAATGGGTGATTTAAAACCCTCCTTTCTAAAGACTGTTTAGGACTTAATAAAATAGCTGTTTGAAGACTCCTAAGAGAATCTAAAACTGACTAGATAACTATAATGTATAATAAATAGTGGAGAACACCAGCTACAAGTTACTTAAGATGTTCAATTTTTATAAATGTTTTATTTTTCTGATGTAGTTATGGCATTCTACTTAAACTATTCCCTTGCTCTTAATTCCTGTGTGCACATGCTTTACTATTAAGATTTATGAAACTTAAACAAATTCAAGACCTGAGTGTATTTCTTTTATAACAGCAATATTAGATGTCAGAGAGCTCTGGAAGAGGTGTACTTAATTTGGGTGTGTGCTTGTAAAAGCAAGACTCCAATTCTCAGAACATTCAATAACTTTAGATCTGGTAAACCTACTACAAGCTCTAATCCTTGTTTCTGATCAAAGATCTTTCTGTGTTTTGTTTCCCAGCTGCTTGAACCTGTCCTCCTCCTGGGGAAGGAACGGTTTGCTGGTGTTGACATCAGAGTCCGCGTAAAGGGTGGTGGCCACGTAGCACAAATCTATGGTATGATTTTTTTGTGGGGTCTCCAGTGTGGGCTAGAACAGGTCAAGCCACATATTTAAGAGGCTTGAGTTTAGAATAGTGCATCCTGATGTTCTGTTACTTTTTCCACTGTGCAAATGTAGTTTTTCATAAGGGCTTATTGGTTATGTTTTATGGGCCAAGCTGTAACATCTAGAGTAAGTTGAATGAAGTGAATCTGTGTCTTGCAGTGTGACAGGACAGTTTGAGTGCAGCTGAGCACAAAGATTTTGGGAGGGGAAAAGGGGATTTACCATTAGAAATTATACTTCTAGTTGTAAATTTCCAGGTTGTTCAGAAGGATCTTTCAACTGACCTGAAAAAGGATTGAGAACATAGTTGCATTAGCTGTTGATAGAGTTGCTCTTTAGAAATGATAGATTTGTTTTGCTGTTTCAGTTTGGGTATAGGTTAGTGAAGTGGAGCTGAAGCTGCGTGAAGAGAAGTGACATGTTTCAATCTCAAAGTTCACTGCATTCATTTTTCAGAAAATTGAGATTTTTCATCAAAATGCTGATCTTGTTAGGCTGTTACCTGCCAGAACATCAACATCATTACAGTTACTCCCATACTGCTGCTTTGAGGTCTGATTACTGTGTTACTGTGCTACAGGCTTGTTTTATTGAGGTGTGCTGGAAGAACTGCTCGTACCATCCTGTTGTCTTTTTGTTTCCTTAGTCTTTATCATAGAATAGTTTGGGTTGGAACCAGTCCAACCCCCCTGCAGTGTGCAGGGACATCTTCAACTAAATCAGGTTGCTCAGAGCCCTGTCCAACCTGAACTCAAATGTTTCCAGGGATGGGGCATCTACCGCCTCTCTGGGCAACCTGTGCTAGTGTTTCACCACCCTCATTGTGAAAAATTTCTTCCTTGGATCTAGTCTAAATCTACCCTCTTTTAGTTTAAAACCATTACCCCTTGTCTTATTGCAACAGGCCCTGCTAAAAAGTCTGTCCCCATCTTTGTTATAAAGCCCCCCTAAAGTACTGGAAGGCTGCAGTAAGGTCTCCCTGGAGCCTTCTCATCTCCATGCTGCACTACCCCAACTCTCTCAGCCTGTCCTCATAGGAGAGGTGTTCCATCCTTCTGATCATTTTGGTGGCCCTCCTCTGGACCCACTCCAGCAGGTCCATGTCTTTCCTGTGCTGAGGGCTCCAGAGCTAGACGCAGGACTCCAGGGCGGGTCTCAGCAGAGGTCAGTTTAAACACACTGACCAATTTTATCCTTGTTGAAAAATGTAGACGTTTCGGAGAACTGTGTTTCTAAGGATTTTGAAAGTTGGCTGCTTGTAGGTAGAAGGTGAACCTATGTTAGTACTCAGGAGAGAAGGTGATCAAGACTGCCCTTGATGGAGTACAATTTCTTGGCTAGCTGGCAGTTGTCAAATCAACAGATGAACTGTGGGTGGCCTCTTGGCACAGATTTCTTCACATTTGCCAAAGTAAAGGTCACGTGGAGTATGTGGGAGGGGAAGTTAAGGAGGGAAAGGACAATTTGGCAGAAAACAAGACGGCGAGTTTCTCAGATAACTGGCACTTCATGTTTCAGTTTTAAATACATTTGCAATCCTTACTGATCCACTATCTTCTTTTAACAGCTATCCGTCAAGCTATTTCCAAAGCATTGGTGGCTTACTATCAAAAATGTAAGTTGTTTTGATTGCTATATTAGCTTTGAGTGGAAATGTATGGCTGCTGGTAATTTTGGTGCAAAAAATACTAATATGGATTTGTTCCCTGTGAAACTTCTTAAACTGAAGATTTTTTTTTTAACCAGATGTTGATGAAGCTTCCAAGAAGGAGATCAAGGATATTCTAATCCAATATGATAGGACTCTGCTGGTTGCAGATCCTCGCCGTTGTGAATCCAAGAAATTTGGAGGACCTGGTGCTCGTGCACGCTACCAGAAGTCTTACCGTTAAAATTGTCCTACAGTCATGTGACAGTCAATAAACATAAAGAGAATTTGATAAATTTCATGTTTCTAAATTGTGTTTTTCTGTGTGGGTAAATAAATTTTTTCACTCTGTGTTAACTTAACCAATTTGTGTATCAAACTTGATATTAAAGTAAAATCGGGGCTGTTGACAGTTCTTTTTTATTCCTTCATAGTAAATCAGTCTAGATAGATAAGGTCTTGGGAATAAAGAGCATTCTGTTGATGAATGTGTGGTTATCAGACCATAAAGAAGGCTTACACCCTATTTTTTTGTGGGTTACATGCAACTGTGTGGCAGTTCACTAAAGCAAAGTTCAATCTTTGCCATTCTGGTAAATAAACCTTTTCCAGTACTGGGCTCGCTGCTCTTCCTAGTGTTATGAACTAGTTTGAGAATCCCGTGTTCTTCCCATACGAAATGTCTGTCTCAACCTGCTTACAGACTTAGTCTGTAATGCGTACGAGTGCGGCTCTGACTCCTGGCTGTTAACTTTTGTGTCATGTGTTGCATGACTTGCTTCAGTATGCTGCCCTAGCATAATGCTGCACGTTCAGCATCTTCCCACGTGCACTTCAGTGCTGGCAGTTCGTGCAAAGGATTTCTGTTTTCCTTTTATATTCACCTGAAATACCACATGGAGGGTGAACTTCCAACCACCACTATGGGATATTAGATAGCAATGAGTATTGTCCATCTGCGTGACCTGCTTTTGTTTGCGCTTACTTAGCAGTTAGTGACCAGGAATTTACCCCCTTGGGGATAACTCCCTCAACGTAGCATTAAAGTGGGTGTTCAGGCAGCTGTTCTGCAGGTTGTGTTTAAAGTTTACGTTGTCAAAACCAAAGTAATTATGGGGGCAGGGTAGGGAGGTTTATTGAACTCTTACCATACCAGGTAATACAGAGGCAGAGGTTTCTGCATTAGTATGTCTAAATGGAGAAATTTTTTTTTAAAAATATAACAGACCCCATATGTCCTGTTTCAAAATAGTATTTTGAACATGTAACACTTAAAAATGATTTTGTGTTACAAATGAGATTGGGTCTAAATGATTTGTCCTTCAACCACATGTTCACACAGTACAAGTATGGAAGAGTGTAGACCTGGAGAACAACATTGCATGATTTAAAAAAAAAAAAAAAGAAAATCCCTTTGGAAGCCAGACAGTTGCTTATATCATGAGCTACGTGAGGCATTTGAAAGCCTTAGGGAAATAAGTGGGGTAAAACCATTTTCAAATATGACAGTAATTTTTGAAGACCTGGCTAGGCTCTGTGCATATCAAACATGAAAAGAAATGTTGGAGAAGTTCCAGTTTCTCATCCATGAAAACTGAAGATTTTCGTTCTGGAAGCGATCTCCCAGGGACAAAAAAGAAGAGCAAAGTTCTGAGTAAGACATGGGATGTGCCAACAAAAGGCTGTTGGAAAGGCTAATTCTGTCCCTTGGAAGAGTTGCAAGTAATTGGGTGAGGCCTTGGATATGAGCTGACCCAACAGGCATGGGCACAGCCCTGGGCTGTTGTTTCCTCCGAAAACCAGTTTAGAGGCAAACTGGAAGAAGCATCAGAGACGAAGCAACTGAGAGCCTAGCTTCTGCCGCATTGCTCTGCAAGCCTGGTATTTTTGTGTCTATCATACACTTGCATGCCGATGCTAAAATTGTTACAGGAGTACCTTGATACCTGACGTTTTTGTTGGGCTTTCTATTAATGTAGTATTTCTTCTCTTACCTTCTTTAATGGTAGGTCATTTCAGTGTACCCGGTCAACACAAAGTTAAACCAGGTTCCTTTGTGAGTTGGATTAGGGAATGGGAAAGGATAGCACAATTTTGCCCTTTTGCCCTAGTTTAGGAAAATAGGTGCTCATGACTTTTTATAAATGATATTTGTTATGATGTCTCTGCTTTTTCTGTAGAAAGGCATTTAAGGCATCTTCACTGAAGTGTAGTTCCTTGGGAGTTAAACGTGTAACTTGAAGAAATTCCTTCTGAAAAGGAATTTTCCATCCATCTCCCATTTTAGCTGTCAGTGTCTGCCACAAAATACCGCATTAAGTGATCCTGAATAGAAATGGCACACTTATTCAAACCCCTCACACTCCCACTGGAGGGGACTGTTGTATATTCTGTTATCAATTTACATACCAGGATGTTTTGTTTTATGCTAAGCAAATGAGAGATTCTATTCCAGACTCTTTGGCAAGGTGCGTGATTTCCTTTTCTCAGTCTCCCCCTTTCTGCACCCTCACATCTGACCCATTTCTCATCCAGTGAGTTCCTCAGAGTTTCTACCTTGTAATAGAACTGCTCACAAGTTATTTTAGCTCTTGGGCTGCTGAAAACTGCAATGTTCTTTCTGCCTCCAAGCCTAGCTTTCTAAGGAAAAGATGCTATGCAGGACTAACTTAAAATTTGATTACTTGAATTCCCATGAGTTTTGTGAACACTGGCATCTTGATAGATGTTAATTAGCTTCCGCTGAGGAAAAATAAGCCTTTTAGTTTTTTGGCTCATGTGGTGACTGAAAAGCAATGGCTCACTCATTGCTTAGGAAATGCGTACTGGCCTGCCAGTTGGCACATACGTACCCCATGGCGTGGCTTGTCCAAAACTGATGCTTGCCTAGCTCTTAGAGCGGTGGGATGCAGGGAAAAAGAGAGGACACAAAGTTACTGTGGTGTGAAACTCAGGGAGGCAGGGGGAGATGCAATAGCTGATGCCAGTAACTTTAGTGGTGGATTTCAGAGTTATGGGGAAACCTGATGCATCAGGTTTTCTGCCCACAGAACGCTTGTAACAATTGGGGATTTTTATTTTGCTGTTCTTTAATGGAAAGGCTGAAAATAAAACTTGCATTGCTACTAATATATCCAGAGATGGTATCTGCATGTCATTTCTTCAACTTTGGTTCTTAGCATAATAAAAAGGCTTTCTGAACTGAACTCTGATCCTATAAAAATGTCCCATTCATCCTGTAGAGTGATGTCATCCCCATTTGCTCTCTAAATGAGAAATGTTCATGGAATTGGGCTGGTGTCTGCCTGGGTGGCGGAAGATTTTTATTCTAAATGGTTGCTTACTGATCACCCACTAGAGGGCTTAATTTCATTGGGGAAGTGTAACAACCCTGACGTTTGAAGGTGTAATGAGAAAACCATCACAAAAGAATGTTTCATTTCCTGATGTCCTGATTCTGCAGGGTTGGCAATCCAGCTCTTGCCATTGAGCATCCAGCTCCTGCCACTGAGCATCCACTCTGGCCAGTGACATCCTTCCACAAAGAAATAGTAGCAGTTTGGTCTTCAAGGCCCTAGCGAGGTTCTTGAGCGCTGTGGAGGTGGTTCTTGGAACAGACGAGATGTCCCTAACCTCGTATTGTCCAGCTCTTTCATTAGTTTCACTGATACCAATCCTTAGGAAGGTCAGGCGCACACATCAAAATGTGGCCTCGCTTGAATTCTTTGTTGAAAAAAACCAGTCCAGTGGACGCTGGAGTGTGAGCTCTAGAAAGTACCGTGTTTTGTTAATGATGACAGTGGATCCAATTCCAAAACGGGGCAAGTGTGTACCCGTGGCACTGAAGGCAGTTATTTTTTCATTCATTGTTTACAATGCTGACAACTGCATAACCTGTATATAAAATCAAGTCCTCTGAAATGTTATGCTGGAAAATTTGGGGCAAATTAATTTTTGACTGTAATATACAAATATGTTAACATTAAAAAGTTTAAATTCTAAAGAAACATCTGTAGCTTAAAAATGTAACACTAGCATTTTCTAAGTGTGGGACAGTGTGTGTTCTGTATTGTGTTTATTTTCTTACCAAACTGATTATTTTTTAATGCATTTTTTCTCCTGAGAAAATTTTTTCAAAAGTCACAATCTGTGAGCATTCTGCTACCTGTGCAGGTAATGTGTGCTCTTGCCTCCATATAATTTCATTCTTTTTTTTTCTCTCTTTCTTAATATAGTCCCATAAATTACAGCTCAGTGTACTTGGCTGAATAATTGTTTTTCCTTATTAGCTAACGTCCTTCATGTGCTTGGGACTGTGCTATTTCCTACCCTGCCTTCAGCAGAGACATCCAGAGCTAATGTAGCTTATTGCTCTAACTCTTACAAAGTGCCTTTGCAGCTGATGAGGCTTGGCATACTTTTAAACAACTGTGAAATACTAACATGCACCAAGTATTCCCTCAACTTTGTTACAGAAAAACTGTAGTGGAAAAAAAAAAGGAAAAAGGCTATTTTTTATAGTTTCTGTTAAACCAAAAGAATTAATTTATATTAATGGAAAGATTTATTTGTGAAGCTGCATATGAAGCATGGTGTGAAATATGGTCTTCAGGAAGGGAAGAATCCCAGATCAGATTTCTCAGAAGAATTTGAAAGAACTTATAAACTGGATTTAGCTTGAAAGTCAGATACCTCAGAGACTGGTAATGGAATTTGGAAGCGCTAATGCTTGGTCTCATCTCAGCTTGACAGCAACCTCCAGGCATCGTTCTCTAGATTTATGAGAGGATGAAATGTTGATTAGCTCTGCCACCTCCTACAGCATAGGTGCCCATATAAGTGATCACAGTCTGTTAGTATGACTACACGAGCATGTTAATTTGGATCAGGATCTCACTACTTTTGCTTCAGTTTGCAATCCGGAGTGGGTTTGGACCATGTGGAGCAGATGAAACTAAGCTGGAAGATGCACTCCAGCTGCAGATAAGCTTTCAGTCCATGGGACCAAGCTGGAGCTAGTCAGAAATAAAAGCAAAGCAAAAAGGCTTTTGAAATGTGAATTGTGTGAATGTCAGCTTCTCAGATCAAACAGTAATAAAAATAATTCTTAAGAAGTACTCCAAACACACTGTAATGTTATAACATGAACTGGTTCGCAGTAAGTATCCTTGGGCAGCCAGTGATCCTGAACCTGCATGAGTACCTCGGCTGCTGTGTGGTCACAGGGTTTTGTCTTTGTCTGCACTTGGAGAGGCGGCGTGTTTTCCTTTACCTTGTCTTCTAGTCCAGCTGAGGAGT